TTCACACGACGACACGTCCTAGCTTTCACACGACGACACGTCCTAGCTTTCACACGACGACACGTCCTAGCTTTCACACGACGACACGTCCTAGCTTTCACACGACGACACGTCCTAGCTTTCACACGACGACACGTCCTAGCTTTCACACGACGACACGTCCTAGCTTTCACACGACGACACGTCCTAGCTTTCACACGACGACACGTCCTAGCTTTCACACGACGACACGTCCTAGCTTTCACACGACGACACGTCCTAGCTTTCACACGACGACACGTCCTAGCTTTCACACGACGACACGTCCTAGCTTTCACACGACGACACGTCCTAGCTTTCACACGACGACACGTCCTAGCTTTCACACGACGACACGTCCTAGCTTTCACACGACGACACGTCCTAGCTTTCACACGACGACACGTCCTAGCTTTCACACGACGACACGTCCTAGCTTTCACACGACGACACGTCCTAGCTTTCACACGACGACACGTCCTAGCTTTCACACGACGACACGTCCTAGCTTTCACACGACGACACGTCCTAGCTTTCACACGACGACACGTCCTAGCTTTCACACGACGACACGTCCTAGCTTTCACACGACGACACGTCCTAGCTTTCACACGACGACACGTCCTAGCTTTCACACGACGACACGTCCTAGCTTTCACACGACGACACGTCCTAGCTTTCACACGACCACACGTCCTAGCTTTCACACGACCACACGTCCTAGCTTTCACACGACCACACGTCCTAGCTTTCACACGACCACACGTCCTAGCTTTCACACGACCACACGTCCTAGCTTTCACACGACCACACGTCCTAGCTTTCACACGACCACACGTCCTGGCTTTCACACCACACGTCCTGGCTTTCACACCACACGTCCTGACTTTCACACCACACGTCCTGGCTTTCACACCACACGTCCTGGCTTTCACACCACACGTCCTGGCTTTCACACCACACGTCCTGGCTTTCACACCACACGTCCTGGCTTTCACACTACACGTCCTGGCTTTCACAGCACACGTTCTGGCTTTCACACCACACGTCCTGGCTTTCACACCACACGTCCTGGCTTTCGCACCACCCTTCTTGCTTACACACCACCCTTCTTGCTTTCACACTTCTATACCTCACTCCTTGCTTTCACAACACACTCCTCACTTCCAAACCATACTTTTTGCTTCCAGGCTACACTTTTTGCTTCCACGCTACACATTTTGCTTCCACGCTACACATTTTGCTTCCACGCTACACATTATGCTTCCACGCTACACCTTTTGCTTCCACACCATACTCCTTGCTTCCACACCATACTCCTTGTTTCCACACCATACTCCTTGCTATCACACCATACTCCTTGCTATCACACCATACTCCTTGCTATTACACCATACTCCTTGTTTCCACACCATACTCCTTGTTTCCACACCATACTCCTTGTTTCCACACCATACTCCTTGCTTCCACACGATACTCCTTGCTTCCACATGATACTCCTTGCTTCCACATGATACTCCTTGCTTCCACACCACACTCCTTGCTTCCACACCACACCACACTCCTTGCTTCCACACCACACTCCTTGCTTCCACACCACACTCCTTGCTTCCACACCACACTCCTTGCTTCCACACCACACCACACTCCTTGCTTCCACACCACACCACACTCCTTGCTTCCACACCACACCACACTCCTTGCTTCCACACCACACTCCTTGCTTCCACACCACACCACACTCCTTGCTTCCACACCACACTCCTTGCTTCCACACCACACTCCTTGCTACCACACCACACTCCTTGCTACCACACTCCTTGCTACCACACCACACTCCTTGCTACCACACCACACGACACTCCTTGCTTCCACACCACACGACACTCCCTGCTTCCACACCACACCCCTTGCTTCCACACCACACCCCTTGCTTCCACACCACACCACACTCCTTGCTTTCACACCACACCCCTTGCTTTCACACCACACCCCTTGCTTCCACACCACACCCCTTGCTTCCACACCACACCCCTTGCTTCCACACCACACCACACTCCTTGCTTTCACACCACACCACACTCCTTGCTTCCACATCACACCCCTTGCTTCCACGCCACACCACACTCCTTGCTTCCACGCCACACCACACTCCTTGCTTCCACGCCACACCACACTCCTTGCTTCCACGCCACACCACACTCCTTGCTTCCACGCCACACCATACTCCTTGCTTCCACGCCACACCACACTCCTTGCTTCCACGCCACACCACACTCCTTGCTTCCACGCCACACCACACTCCTTGCTTTCACGCTACACCACACTCCTTGCTTCCACGCTACACCACACTCCTTGCTTCCACGCCACACCACACTCCTTGCTTCCACGCCACATCACACTCCTTGCTTCCACGCCACATCACACTCCTTGCTTCCACGCCACATCACACTCCTTGCTTCCACGCCACACCACACTCCTTGCTTTCACGCTACACCACACTCCTTGCTTCCACGCTACACCACACTCCTTGCTTCCACGCCACACCACACTCCTTGCTTCCACGCCACATCACACTCCTTGCTTCCACGCCACATCACACTCCTTGCTTCCACGCCACACCACACTCCTTGCTTCCACGCCACACCACACTCCTTGCTTCCACACCACAACACACTCCTTGCTTCCACACCACAACACACTCCTTGCTTCCACACCACAACACACTCCTTGCTTCCACACCACATCACACTCCTTGCTTCCACACCACACCACACTCCTTGCTATCACACCATATTAAATGCAAATCCAAATAATTTGGACTGGGGCTAATAGTTTTGAATCCAACATTTTTGTCTTTAAATGTATTGTATTCACAATGTATTATCTTTGTATTATATTTTTTTCAGTGGGACAAATTCTGTTCAACCAATATAATGGTGTGAATAATGTACATTGAAGACAGAGTACAACAAAGTTTCAAATGAAAGGGACGCATGTGATAGCCCCTAAAACAGAAGGATTACACGGCCTATAGACTAATGGAGGGTCAGGGGAATCATCCCTCTGGAATAATTCACTAGTTGGACGTCCGGAAACTACATTAATTAGTAGTAAAAATTGATATTAAACAAGGACACATGGAAAATGTTAATATGAGGCAATTACATTTTTGCTATTCATTGCTTTTGCTCTTTTGAGTAATGCATACCACATGAAGTGCTCTTTTTTGAAAATAATTTAGAGATCAAATCAAGTTAATCAATTTATTAACTAAACTGTAATGATATGTTCGCTTTCTACTAATAAATAGAAATAAGTTATGAGAAATTTCATATATTGTTTAGTTTTTTTTTTAGAAAATAGCAGGTCATATCAGTAGTAGTAGTAGGTCATATAGTCTTGCCTAAAGACACTGAACTATCTACTATTAACGTTCTTGTGGAATGGAAACATTTTTGGAAAAATTCTGGTACAGAAAAAAGTATGTAGGCGTGTATGTATTTCCTTGCGTTTTTCAGGAAAGCATCATTACATTGTCTTCTTCTTTTTGTGAACCTGGTCAAAAATATTTTCGTGCCACAAGTAGCTTAACAACTGTGTTGTTCACATAGAAGTCAGGTCTACCATCTTGAAGCAAGACTATATTAGTATATCTGGAATGCATAGACAAAAAAACTGGCTTAACATTTATCCAGGATGCCTGAAAGATAATCAATTGTAAAGTTCCATAAGGAAATTTCAGAACAAGCGCCATCTAACGGTTTGAATTGAAATGTGTAGACAAGACAAGATTATCTGACGGAAAATCCAATATGGCCACCATAACATTTTCCAAAGTTACCCAAATCCTATCACATTTCTAAACTTCCTTACATGTTTTTTTCTTTTGGTCACCAATAAAGGATATCTTTAAACCCCTAAAGTAATTACTTATTCCTTTCAAGGGGTTAACTGTGTGTCAAAACGCAACATATTGATGCAACAAAAAACAAAACAAAAAAGCAGGGGTGGAAGAGGTTGAAAATGAAAATCACGACATTCCCATAGGGAAAACTGCGATATATTGCTTTCAGAATAATGGGAAAATAACATTGGAAATATTGTTTTCCACTTTATCTAAAGAATTACTTATTCCTTTAAAGGGGTTAAATGTGTGTCAAAATGCAACATACTGATGCAACAAAAATTGGCGTTTTAGAAATCTTGTTGCCACCCCAGGGATCCATTTCATGTCTCAAGAATAAATTGATTTATCATACATGTTTTGAAGCGGAAGCAGAAAATATTACTCATTATTTTGAGATGGCACTGATCACTGTCAATTACCCACTAGTACTAAAATGCGCGCATATTCGGGAAAATACATGATTGGCGTGCATATAGACTCCTTAACGTAGTGCTCATGAAATATGTAAATTAACTGATAATCAATGGGAAAGAATAGTGCTGTAAACTTTTTTCTGGTGTTGATCTTTTGACGTTTTTTCGTATTTCGTATTTATTGTAAGCCTCATCTACACATGTATGAATATAATTGAATTCTACTAAGAAAAAGAAATGTATATCACAAATTATTTTTAACTTTAAATACTGAACAAAAGGCACCGCTATATGCAACGGCACAGATGGCATGCATCCCGAAATCTTTCTATTTTAACTTTTTACCACATGTACACTCTTTCACTTTTTTTCATTTAGTAATAACAAATAGGCTTTCTCAAGTTATAATAATGAAGTCTAAAAGCTTTCTGCCTCTACGAGTATCAATTTTATTATATCATATACAACCTAGTTATTTTTATAATTTTATAAAAATCATGTTCAATTTATTTTCATTGAAAATAGTATAAATTACATGTCAGCTTTTAATTAAAAATATATTAATATAATATATTGGAATTATTAGGAATTACAAATAGGCCTAACATGATTTGAATTAATAGCACCCTTATGACCTGAGATTATCGAAGTGATTCAAAAAGGTACCAATCTTCTCAAGGGTGTGGATTGAACAAATCAGCTACGTACAGCTTGCAATGGTACAGCGAATTCATTATTTTCATGTCTGTGTTTTTCAATTTCGTAATCAGTTTTAAACTTTGCAAAATTCTCCGCATCATCTATAGTCTCTGGTAGATCTCTGTCTCTTGTCTCAGGCAGAAGAAGCACTAAAACACCTGCTAATAGTGCCAGGGCACCAAATATCACCGTTGGAATAACTCTGTTGAAGTTTTGCTGGAAATTATCAAAAAACAATTGAAAATTATTAATAGCAACGGAAATTATATAGATGGCGCATGCGCTGACAGCTGCAGTGAGTGGACTATAAATGGAGGAAAATAAACATAGGTATTAATTAAGGGCCAAAAGATGGCAGCTGTCCTGATACACGCGTGTGATAGTAATGAAAACACGTCTAAATTGGCCATATTCCTTACTCGATAATCATTACTTATACTCGTCATGGAATTATCTGATAATTATATCCAGATACCATTACCGCAATGTACGAGCAAACATGAATGATATGTTCCCAGCCGAATGTTATTGATGATTGGAGTCCACCTACCAAGAGGCCTATATATGGGGCCACAATTCCACCTATACGAGCAAACATGGATGATGTCCCCACGCCAATGTTACGGATTTGAGTCGGGAAGATCTCAGCAGCGTAGTTGTAAACCATGCCGAATCCTGCAGATAACATCAACTTTCCCACCATTGACAGTGTGATATTCAGAGCTACCATCTCTACAAAATAGATGAAAAGGTAAGGGAGTCGCAGTACATCGGATGTGACTTTGAAATCATTACCTCCGTGTTGCCATGTAGACATCACTTGAGTTTTTTATCGTACCTAATAAAGGTACGATATTGTCGTCAGCTTGACGGGCGGGCGGCGTGCGGCGGGCGGCGTCTCACTTTTAAGCTTGTCTACAGGTTTCCAGCCAAACTATTTGACAGATTCATCTGAAATTTTCAGGAATGTTTCTACGTATCAAAGTTAAGAACTGATTAGTTTTTGGGCATTCTGGGTAAATTTTAAGGTGGCCATTTTGGATTTTCCGTCCTAAAATCTTCACTTTCAAGACTTGTCTACAGGTTTCCTGCCAAACCATTTGACGGATTCATCTGAAATTTTCAGGAATGTTTCTACGTATCAAAGTTAAGAACTGATTAGTTTTTGGGCATTCTGGGTAAATTTTAAGGTGGCCATTTTGGATTTTCCGTCCTAAAATCTTCACTTTCAATACTTGTCTACAGGTTTCCAGCCAAACCATTTGACGGATTCATCTGAAATTTTCAGGGATGTTTCTACGTATCAAAGTTAAGAACTGATTAGTTTTTTGGCATTCTGGGTAAAATTTAAGGTGGCCATTTTGGATTTTCCGTCCTAAAATCTTCACTTTCAAGACTTGTCTACAGGTTTCCAGCCAAACCATTTGACGGATTCATTTGAAATTTACAGGGATGTTTATGCATATCAAAGTTAACAACTGATTAGTTTTTTGGCATTCTGGGTAAATTTTAAGGTGGCCATTTTGGATTTTCCGTCCTAAAATCTTCACTTTCAAGACTTGTCTACAGGTTTCCAGCCAAACCATTTGACGGATTCATCTGAAATTTTCAGGGATGTTTGTACGTATCAAAGTTAAGAACTGATAAATTTTTTGGCATTCTGGGTAAAATTTAAGGTGGCCATTTTGGATTTTCCGTCCTAAAATCTTCACTTTCAAGACTTGTCTACAGGTTTCCAGCCAAACCATTTGACGGATTCATTTGAAATTTACAGAGATGTTTCTACGTATCAAAGTTAACAACTGGTTAGTTTTTGGGCATTCTGGGTTAATTTTAAGGTGGCCATTTTGGATTTTCCGTCCTAAAATCTTCACTTTCAAGACTTGTCTACAGGTTTCCAGCCAAACCATTTGATGGATTCATCTGAAATTTTCAGGGATGTTTCTACGTATCAAAGTTAAGAACTGATTAGTTTTTTGGCATTCTGGGTAAATTTTAAGGTGGCCATTTTGGATTTTCCGTCCTAAATTCTTCACTGTCACACTGCTGTGTTTTAGGTACGATATTGTGCCTTGTTCAATACAATAAGCATGATGAACATGATTTTTATTGTCTTAGTTCCTATGTCTTAGTTCCTTTTACAACTAGAATGATATTAAGACCAATTTTACCTGTTAACAATGATTATGATTATGAGATTTGTAAAGTTTATAATCTACCTTTAGGCACGGCCATCATGCAAAGTAACGCAACACCGCCAACTAATAAAACCCCGCACAGGGGGTATCGTCTTCCAAGCTTCCAGAAAAAAAATTGTGCCATGCCATAGGCTGGGACTTCAATGGCTCCTGATATAAGGAAGTTAATATAGGGGTCGCCACCAAGGCTAGATGTATTAAGAGAAATGCCATAGTACACCATGCTACACACGAACCTGAAATATGAACCAATGCACTCATAACTCGATATTATATACTTGTATATAGTGATACCATAGCTCACGTGTGGCCCATATAAGTTGATATAGTTGATACACGTGTTTTAGTTACTTATAATAAACCATTGTAATAGCTCTATTTAAAAAATATTTTTGAGCCATTGATCGAGAATTATTGCTTACAAATACAATGTATGATCTCTTGTACATTTAGGCCCACTACAAAAGCAAGATGGCAAAAATCTGGAATAATGCATTATTGGTCGGGCTACAAAATGAGAATATGTAATGGATGTAATGAGAAGATACATGCATGAAAGAAAAGTTCTTACCACGAATAAAACATGATCAGCGCCCTCTTTCGTAAGACTGGTGTGCGTACAAGATCAATGAAATACCTTCTCTTCTCATCGTCATTCAACTGAAATGTAGTGCAAGGCATCATTAACATGCACAATTTTATCACCTGCCATTTGTTACAGTCGCCGTTATAGACGCCAAACACCAACCGCAGTCCAAAAGAAAATTCGAAACTAGGCCTATGACAAAATGATATCGACACTGAAAATAAGAATTTCCTCCTATGGAAGTTCATCCATTTTGTTATAATGTATCAAAAAAACGCAACAAATTGTTAACTCGAAAAAGCAAAAAAACAGTGATAACAGCATTGATTTCATTCAATGTAACATAAAGTCATGTGTCTCCTCTTTCCAATGTTATATCATTCGTTGATATCGGATCATGGTTGGGCGAGTAATCATTCCTTTTGCAAAGTTGGCCAAAATTAGCTTGGGACCAAGTTATGAACACCACGAAAGTCAGTGCACGGGGCCAGGTGTTATTGGGAGAAAACAGAAAATCCAGAGATCAATGCATCCTTTTCATTCAATATATCACAAAGCCACATTTCTCCTCTTTGCAATGTTATGTCATTCATTCTCAGGGATTCATGTTTGGCCAAATAATTATTGATCTCGCAAAGTGGGCTAAAATTAGCTTAGAGCCAAGTTTAAAACATTGCAAAAGTCAATGCAAGGGGCATAAGGGCTATGACAGGTATGGCATAAACAGAAAAGTGTTCATACCCTTACAAGAATACATCCTATACCCCTCCGAAATGCAACCACTTCTTCGCATGCAAACATGCGCACATCTCTCAATGTCATTTATGGCTCAGCTCTGAGTCATACTGTCATACCAATAGTATGTTGCTTAATAAGGCGGAGAAAAGCAGCGCATTGGCAATTCTTTTTCGAAATTCTGCAATATCTGGGTGAGGAATGGTGAACACTCTGCTCCAGAACAATTCAGGTCAGGAGAACTTCCATTCGCACTTAGCCCTTGCACTGACTTTTGCAATATCTGAAACTTGGTCCAGAGCCGATTTTGGCCAATTGTGCAAAAGGAATGATTTTTCACCCAACCATGGTCACATGTGAATCAATGACATACCGTTTCAAATAGGAGGGATGTGGCTTTATGGTACATTGAATGAAATTGATTTTGTCATCACTGGTTTTGTGGTTTTACGAGATAACTGTTTGTTGCGTTTTTTATACGCCCTGTACAATGTAAAGACGTAACGTCTTTAGTACCATGTGGGGACCAGTACGTATTCTCGATTGTGAGTTTTTGATAATTCATTTGGAGAATTACATGTATCAATGGAAACTTACCTTATTCTCGATTGTGAAATCTTGTGGAATGTGGACCTTATTCCATTTTACGATCTTCTTCACGATCGCATCTGCCTTGGCGAACTGATTGTTGGCATACAGCCATCTTGGAGATTCCGGGGCAACGCTGGATAAAGAAGACCCGTGTCATTAAAAAAAACAAAAATAACCAATCAAATGACCACAGAGCAATATCATGTGATGCACAGTAAGATGCAAAACGTTTGCATGTTTGAATTGCTTGTGGTTTGACTAACATATGTGTGGTCTCTTGCATTTTGCTGCTTCCCTGACATGTTATTTTCAAAAAATAATCATGGCTAAAATTCCCCAAATTACAAGAGGCCACAGGATTACTGCACATTGAAACCAATCTTCCTGAAATAAACAAAAGTATCGTACCAAACATATGAATATATTCTTCATATAATATTGCACTGCGAATCTTTGATTGCTTATTTTCAGGTTTGAAAGACCTGTTTTCAGGATGTAAGTACTAGTTTAGTAGGCATATTTTACTTTATTGATTTTGAAAGTGAGCGATAGGAGCCATAGTGATCATTATCCGCCTGGTCCAGGGCGAATAACGAGTTTTTCCGTGGAATTTATTGTACCTCGACAAACAAGAACCGAATCTTACAAAATAAGCAGCAAGTATAGCGTCATTGGTCCAGACAAGACAAGCTGCAGAGTAACCCAATCACGAACCCCGTATGCGATACCAGACAACACAAGGTAGCCAAGTGCCCATGTATGCTGCATCAGAAACCCCGCTGTGTTCCTCCAAGAGGGACCAACTATCTCCATGTCTGAAAATTAGGGTAATTTGATGTAAGTTTGCAAATATGAACAATATGAACCAAAATAAGTTGCAATTGCTCTTTGATTAATCATAGACTGATTAATGCCATTTTTACCTGCCAACTTTCGCTGAATTTTCAGGAGAAATTTTGATTGTATAAGGAATATTAGAGGCAAATAAGATATATGGATTTTTTTAATGGAATTTAAAGAAAAACATATGCTATCGGAAAAGCAATTTAATAATAACACATTGGAAACCAGGAGAGTTTAACTGGATAGTATTTAAATATGGGACAGCTGATATTTGAGCTTTTGGGGTACTGAATGTTACATTGTGGTATTATAGTTCTGGTTTTACGAATTTCAAATAAAAACATACATACTAACGACAAATGCAACTGTATATGCGCCCATGCTGAATGTTGCTAGGCAAAATCTAAGGATGGCGAAGATGATGAAATTGGGTGAGAATGCTACCACATAGGATGCGATCACTGTTAATACAATACAGATGCATAGCGTGGGGCGTCTACCAAATCTGAAAAAAAGATTAATTCTCCTGAGATGCTATTATTGTTATGTCACTACCACAAGTGGTGACATATTGATTTTTTTTGTGGATGATTAAAGGCGCCCGGTGGTCGGAGCTCGGTGTCTGTAACAAATGACAGGTGGTTAAATTTTGCATCTTAATGTGCATTGTCATCTTTGTTATATAAATGTCAAAGGGCGTAAATGTCTTTAAATAAACCAGCAATATTTTTAACATTCGTGACTACTTTTAATGTGCACCATGAACTAAAGCTTCTTTCTTGAAAATACCAATCCTTGAAAACTATTGCTCACATAGTAAACGGCAAGGTATGTGCAAAATTAAGGGATGTATGGCACTATATACACTTTAAGATTTCTTATGAGATAGTTAATTCATTAGCTAAAGTAGGTATTTCTATCAAATGCGAACGTTTACTGACGAGAAGAACGGTATCAGAGTCGTTTTATGGTGCAAGTTACAGATTTGTGATTTGTTTATGTTTTTCAATTTTATGTTGACATCATGTTATTAGCCCCCAACTTTTTGCGGATGGCATTCGGCGTCTGTAACAAATGCCAGGTGGTGAAATTTTACATGTTTTCTGCCTTTTGCCGTCTTTTAGGATTAGAAATTGACAGTAAGCCTCTTTAAAGGATGAGGTGTTGGTGTAGAAACGAGAAACTGCACAGCTTGTCATGTAACTCGTTGATTTATGTACTCTTAAGAGTTATATTGCGATAAATTATTTACTGTACTTCCTCAAATATTGCATCCTTGTACAATGTACGTTTGCATTCATATTTTTTGAAAGTGGCATTAACTATGTCACCTAGATAGGGCATGATTTGTAAGCTCACAGATAACGTAATTATGTTGTGTTCATTTTCAGTTTGCGATTATAGTAGTAAAAGTGTAAAAAAAGACTGGCGATTTTTGACTGGAAATTGGTTTTAGCAACATTACCATATCATCTCTGGGTAATATTTTAATTCAAAAAATCATGCACAGCAGATCTTATAAAAACATCTTTAGATGGCAAGAGGGACATCCGATACTACAGTCTTACTACTAAGCTTATCACTATTACTACATTACTACACTACATTACACCAATGATGACAATGAAATATGTTTTATGTTTGCTACCTGTCTGACAATTGGCCTCCAGCAACTGCACCTACCAGGATACCTCCCATATATATGGACTGTACTAGAGCGATCATCCATTTTCTCCCACATACTAACTCCCACTAAAATTAAAACACAGATGAATTTACATTACAACTAGAAAGAGAAAATTAAACACATTACAACAGACATCACCCAGAGAATTGACAACGCATTAAAGCTCTTTTGAAACCACGAAAATGTGCTGTAAAACTAATTTTAATGTAATTAGTATGTTAAATACCATTTTAAATGCCATTTGTATGGGACATTGCATCCTTCTTCAAAGGACTTCATTCATGCTTAAATTAAATTAAAATACTGTATAATTGTATATACCCTTGCTGCAAGGATGTGGACACTGGTATAATGTGTTCCGATGTGACAGAAATTGTGTTTCCCTGGGGATTTTTATCCCAAATTAGAGTAAAGGTTAAATAGCTGTACGTATATAACGGTATACTGTATTTCAACGGAAAGGGACAAGTTCACTACATGCACTCCGCGGCGGAAACAGCCATACCTTTATCAAAATGGATTCATATCCGCTGAGGTTTTTAGCATTCAGATCACTTAAAAAATCAATAAGTTTAAGTAAAAAAAAGCGTCATTTTTCAAAATTATATTTTGACACATATTCTGCTAAATCAGAAACTATGTACGCTAATTTCCTTCCTCTGACATATTTAAAAAATTTACGCTCAAGGGGTGCTCAAAATTTTAGTGCAATTTTTTTGCAATAACTTTACGAATGAACCCGTAGACATGTTATTTTCATGAGTATTGATCCAGATATCTTGTTTATATATAAAATCTTCATGTAGATGATGTATGAAGGGTATTTAAGGTAATATGGGATCCTTATACACTGATAAGACAACAATGCTTCAAATGTAGCTCGAAGTGACTTTAGAGTTCATGTTTTGATAATTCAATCATTGATGACCATTTAAATTGTAAACAAAACCTACTTGTCATCTTTTACTTTTCTTATCATTTTATGTTGTCTCTATCATAGACATAGAAAACATCTAGATATCAGGTCACACTAAACCAAATGGCCATTGCCGTACAGATAATGTTATAATTTATTTATTTTGAATTATGCTCATAAAGATGTTCATTATTTTATGATGGTATCTGGCAGTTTCATTTGATTACAATATGTGTTTACTAATACATGCATACTTGTATTATTCTAAGAAACAAATACATGTGTGATTATGTTGATGCGTTTTGCATAATCAGGATTTTAGGAAGATCTTTTGTAACATCACAATAATCCGAGGGGTATACATTTTATAATTAGTTGCCACAGATGTAGTTAAGGTTAGACTGAACTGAATACATACATACAATGAGTGCATGTGAAGAGACTAGAGATCTTGTAGAAGTGTTCCGATTTTGGACAATGTTTGTTACCATGGCAACGAATTGGGGAACTAACATCGCTGGTATTAAATAGTAAAAATGTAAGAATTCCTGATAGGATTGAATTTAAAATTTCACAGTTTTTACCTAATTCTTCGAAATTTTGAACAACATTGGCACAAAATGTTTCACTATCTTAGACTGGATTCAACCAGTTAATGATGTTTTGTCACGTGGGTGCTTTGTTTGGATTCTAATATGGTCGATTGTAATCTTAAATGTCCCTCTTCTAATTATGTCTTTAATACTTCAATTGGTTTTAACCCTTTTGGCTCGTGGACTTACATTTTTGAATCCATAGTATAGAAGTTAAAAGTTCTAGGCTCAAAGTTCTGGTTAATCTATTGAACTCTATGTAAACTATATTGTTATCTGTTAATAATCAGTTTACATTGATGCTACACAGAACCTTATCAAAACAAGCAGATATTTTCAATCACTATGGCTTATACAAAAAGCCATAGTTCGTCATTACTTTTTCATTCATAAAAAAACATTTCAAATCGGTTACATTTACATATACAATATGGCTTCGTATAATAATCACACATTTTGGAATTTTCTTGGTATCATGTTTTTGGCAACTTATCACACAATATGAGTGTAGTTCCCATAATTGCTCGCCTTACTTCTCTGTCTATATTTGTTTATCAATATTACACGTTGTTCTTTATATAAGTTGCTTAACATCATTTAAGGTTGGTCTTAACAGTTTTACCATGGTTATTCAATATTATTGGATATGTGAAACTTTTATTTTCGGATTTTAAAAATTGTTTTTTACTAACTTTTTTTAAAATTGAGAATTTTTCTTGATAAAGCTTTGAGTAATTAATGTACCACGCGTCAATTTCCTCCTCATACCGTAAAATTGGAATGCTTAAAAATATGAAAATGAATGTTGAAATAATGGCTCCTACACTACGAGGAATTTTGCAACGATTAAATGGCAATTTTCCAAATAATCTATAATGTATTGTCAAGGATTTAAAAACTAACGAAACTTTTGCTGTTAAAATGGCGGGAAAATTTAAAGGTTATCGATTCGAAAATTGTTTACCCATGTACCCAACAGTAAGTAATGATTTTTTATAAAAAATATGTTATGGTATTGTATGATCAAAGTTCAGTTTTGATGAAGCGTTTAAGGTGAGACATGCATACATATAAAACGCCAAAAATGTTTATAACCCAAATCCTCATCACTCAGTCCACCTTCAGAAATCAATTATCTAAAATTAAATAAACAACAGGATATCAAAACTGAACTAGATATGAGAAGTGAATTTCAAGATTAAGCACAACACAAACATTATAAATCTTTTTAGAGATATGTGCTGACCATTTATCTCATCTAACAACAAGGTCAGTGACACATATCAAAATGTATTAATTAGCTATAGATTTACAATGAGCCAACGAAGTCTGAGACTAACATTATGATGGTCTCAGCACATGTATACCTCAATTTTCTTGGTAAATTTGGGAATTTAATGGGAAAGCATTAACCAAGTAAGTTCGTAGGCCTACGATCACGGCAATGCTGATTTGCACATTTTTAATGTAATTAATTTTTATTAGAACAAATGATTAATAAAGTACTCCAATCGCTAGGAGCATTATGGTAGATTCGAGCATGGCTGTATTCATGTAATGTGTCAAATAAAGATGGCCTGAGGGGTGAGGCAAACGATGTCCGATTTGGCTGAATTTGTTTTGTGCGGTCCCTACTAACCATAAATCATAATGTATGAATAGCAACTTGATCAGGAAAAAAAACCAAAAATGAAACACCCTAACCCTTGTTTCCCAATTCGTTCTCTTGTAGCCCCTAGTAGACCCCTTGTTATCCAATTGGTTCTCTTGTTGCCCCTAATAGCACCCTAACTACCCCAATTGGTTCTCTAGTTGCCCCCGTTATTGCTCTAGTTAACCCTAATTGGTTCTCTAGTACCCCCTAGTGGCACCATAGTTACCCTAATTGGTTCTCTAATAAGCCCCAATAGCACCGTTACCCAATTGGTTCTCTAGTAGCCTTTAGTAGCACCCTAGTTGCCCCAATTGGTTGTCTAGTTACCTCTAGTAGCACCCTAGTTACCCCAATTGGTTCTCTAGTAGCACCCTAGTTGTCCCCATTGGTTCTCTAGTAACACCCTTGTTTCCCAATTGGTTCTCTAGTAGCCCCTATTAGCACCCTAGTTGCCCTAATTGGTTCTCTAGCAGCTTCTAGTTGCGCCCTGGTTACTCTAATTGGTTCTCTAGTAGCCCCTAATGGCACCCTGGTTGCCCCGCTTGTTTTTCTAGTAGCCCCTAGTGGCACCCTTGTTACCTGAATTGGTTCTCAAGTAGGCCCCCATAGCATCCTAGTTACCCCAATTGATTCTCTAGTAGCACCTAGTGGGACCATACTTTCCCCAATTGGGTCTCTACTCTCTAGTACCCCCTAGTGGCACTCTAATTACCCCAATTGGTTCTCTTGTAGCCCCTATTGACACCCTAGTTACCCCAAATCGGTTCTCTAGTAGCCTCTAGTACCACCCTTGTTTCCCAAATCGGTTCTCTAGTAGGTCCCTATAGCACCCTAGTTACCCTAATTGGTTCTCTAGTGCCCCCAGTGGCACCCTAGTTACCCCAATTAGTTCTCTAGCACTCTCTAGTGGCAGTGTGGCACCCTAGTTACCCCAATTAGTATTATGTATCATTAATATGTTTACTTTTCTTGAAAATCACTATTTTAGAAAAATGGGGTAGGGGTACCATACTACATCTATAATATGGAGTAATGTCATTTTGTATAGACCAAATATGTTACCTATGGTATTAATTGCTGTTCATATTCCATTAATGATATTTGGAAGTTTAAGTTATTAGAAAAAAATTGAGAAAAATGGAACCTTGGATGCATATATTGAAATGGCTGTACAGATTAATGCCGCAAAGTACTCAAATTGCATCCGGCAGATTTGAATTCAGAACACCCTAAATATACTGAAAAGTTACAAATACAGCATATGCATCCAAAATTTCCATCATAAGTTGAAATATTGCAGGACTAATAATATTAAGGTACACTATTTTGTATATCTTCAGACATAGAATTGAGCAATAAAATATTTTCAATATTATTGTGATAAGCAGCAGTGATATTGTTGATGTAAGTATAATATTTCTAGGATAACCTATGATTTTGATTTTTAGCGCTTTTCAAACCTTGCAGTCAATTTATTCCTAACTCAAATAATTAATATTATTATATCACTGTCTAGCTAGCGACAGTATGATTGGTCAAGACCGGGTCACATGTCGTGGGATATCTGGCGATATTTAATGGCAATGCTAATCAGATAAGACAACCGTGAGACATCTAGCTATATCCCACGCTCCCGGGAATTTTCAAAGAATTTGTTTTCGTTCAGTGTAAATGGCAGACGAAACGAGTAGATTCGTAAAAATATCTGAAGACTTAATGACTTAATAATATTAGGGATGTTTAGCTAGACAGTGATATAATAAAACAAATATTTCACTCTATTTTCGGTGAATACCTGTAGCACTTTCACAAGGTGGTATTCCACTTGCAGTGGCGTAGCCAGGATTTGGTGACCAGGGGTTCATTTTTATATTATCCACAAATCTCCACCTTCATTGGGGT